GAGGGTTCTTGTTTAGCGGCGTTTACTTTGGTGGAAACGCAGGTCCTTAAACTGCTGCAAGAACTGAACCCTTCCAAAGCAGCTGGACCTGATTCAATTCACCCGAAGCTTCTGCATGAGTTGGCGGTGGAACTAAGTGGACCGCTGACGATGGTGTTTCAGAAGTCACTTGACAGCTGTACATTACCTTCTGAATGGAAGAAGGCTGTCATCTGTCCTATCTTCAAAAATGACGACAGGAGTCTGTCAGCCAATTATAGGCCAGTCCGTCTGGCTAGCGTCGTGGTCAAACTGCTTGAAAAGCTGGTGAGAGATTCATTGGAAGGTCACCTGACTAGATTTAATCTACTCAGTAGTGCACAACACGGACTCCGGAAGGGGTTTTCGTGTCTGACGAATTTGTTGGTTGCTCGTGAAGCTTGGGCCGAGGCAATGAACACTGGCCACGTAATGGGTGTGCTTTTCGTAGACTTCTCGTAAGCATTTGATAAGGTGCCCCACTAGAGGCTATCACAAAAGCAGAGCTCCTACGGCGTATCTGACCGCGCCCTTCACTGGGTATCTGCGTTCTTGCAGGGAAGAGAGCAGTGTGTAGGTGTGGGTCGCAGCTTATCATTTAGGCAAGCGGTCCTTAGCTGTGTCTCACAGGGCTCGGTCCTTGGACTGATGCTGTTCTCCATCTACGTAAACGATCTCCCTGGAGAGCTTGGGATGTCATCCCTATTATTTGCTGATGACCTTAAGCTATGGAATGTTGGAAATGTTCCTGGGGGTTCTGAGGCCATACAGAATGCACTGGACATACTCTGGGATTGGTCTACTTTGTGTCTACTGCCCATTAATCAGGCTAAATGTTCTGTCCTTCGTATCGGAGCAACTTTCCCGCCTTCGTGCTACGTACTCCGTGGGGTCGAACTCCCCTTGTCTCCAACCAGGTAGACCTAGGCGTCGTCCATTCCTCGTCTTTGCATTTTGATGGCAACTGGAAGAAGGCCGCAAGTAGGAGTTTCAGAATGTTATGGTTAATACGCCGTTCTTTCGGGGTCTTAACTGCCGACATATTTGTGGAGCTGTTCTCAGCTTTCGTTCGGCTCCATCTGGAATACTGCGTCCAGGCTTGCGCGCCCTGCCTTGTTCGGGACAAAATGGAGCTCGAGAGGGTTTTGGGAGTAGGTACCAAATTGGTCGTGGGGTTACGGGGGCAATCATACCCCGAGCGTCTACTTAGCTTGGGTATGTATTCAATGCACTACCGACGGCTTCGAGGAGACCTAATCCTTATTTACCGCATTTAACAGGGAAGGTTGGACTGGACTTGAGATGACTATTTAGCCCGGCTAGGTTGCCTTGTCTTCGCGGTCATCCCATGAAGCTACACAAGCCGCGTTCCGACCGAATCAGGGCGGTAACTCGATTATCGCGTAGAGTTATCGAGCGCTGGAACTTGCTTCCAGAAAGTGTAGTCAGTGAACCTACGGTTAAGGGTTTCGAGCGTCAGTTAGACGCTCTTATGTGGCAGCACGAAACCTTTCCCTTTTCCTGACCATATCCATCTTCCAACTCTTAGTTCTTATTCTGTCATTCTCTTCAATCTTTGGTGTTATCTTTCATTTAAATGACTTTCATTCCCCTTTAGCTTCCTTTTACTTTCTACTTCTTTCCTACTTCACGTGACCTACACAGCGGGGACTGCTAGTGCAGGGAACATGGGCAGTAATTGATTGACCAGGGTGCGTTTCGGGTGTTTCGTTTCAGATCTATCAAGACCTCCTAGCACCTTATCATTTCCTGGCTCAACGATCCTCTCAAGAAGGAACACTCAAGGGATTTTTCTATCATTCCAGTCCATCTGAATCTTTGACCTTTAGTGGTAGCGGAATTGCAATTCAATCTCCTGTGGGATATTTATCATTGCAGTGTACTGATGAAGCCCGCGATCTAGGTGTCATCATAGTGAATAATTTTAAGCCTTCGGCACAGTATCGTCGTGCTGCCAATAAAGCGCGACAAGAGTTATTTCGTCTTAGGAGGGCGCAGAGTAACACTAAAGCAGAAGTATTCTTGCCGTTATATAAAGCAGTGGTTAGGCCACATCTGGAGTATTGCCTTCAGGCCTGGGCACCATACCTCCGTAGTGACGCCATGTATTTAGAAAACATTCAGAAACTTGCAGCCAGGATAATCGAACGTTAGTGTGGGAAGTCGTACGAAGATCGTCTGGGTAGTTTGGGATTATTTTCCTTGGAACGGCATAAGTTGAGAGGGGATTTTATAGAGACGTTTAAGATCATTAAGGGACTTAATGGTATTAGTCCCACCCATCTGTTTCAGTTAGCTATGTCAGACCATTTGCGCGGGCATCGTCTGAAGTTCAAACAGCATAGAGCTCGTTTGGACATCAGGGCAAAGTTTTTACGAACCGAGTAGTTAACATCTGGAATAAATTCCTTCTGATTTAGTAGAATGTGTCTGTAGAAGCCTTGAAAAGGGGTTTAGATGAGTGTTGGTCCATCCTTCTTCCAGAGATATCGTAGTTGTACTGGAATATGTAGTGTATTTTGATGCTTACACATGAAAGTGCAAAGATTGTTCTTTTTCTTGCCTCATTCCTTCGCAGAAGCAAGAGGGATCAATCCAACGTCGAAGTGCCGGAGGCCGTTTCACTTACCGGCACAAGAAACTGGACGCTCGTTAGGCGAACGCCTCTATCGTCCGTTTGACCTGATCTGACCTGTCTTAGCACACTGCCTCCAAAGGCATAAGCTTTCACTGCGACGCGTCTGGCGGTGCTTAGCGACAAAAAACTTCCGATGAGCTTACGCCCCCTGAGCGTACCTACTGCTCCCGCACAACCTCTGTCTAACTGATTGCGAAACTCCTGTTTCATCTGTGTACCTGCCTGGGTATGGCTACTCTACGCCCAAGGGGAAAAGAAGCCGTGCCTCCACCACAACGTTGGCGGAAACACTGTTGCCCGTCGGTCCTGACAATCCAGATCAAAATAGATGCCGAATCACCACTTCCTCAGAGGGTGCACTACTAACACAGGATATTGTCTGCAAAGACCAGGTAAATGCAACTAAGCAAAAAATAAAGACTAGGACCTATGCTACTGTGGCGGGCATAAACGCTGTCGAAACATCCGCGATGAACCCGGTCAAAAGACAGACGAAAAAAGCCGTTTGAAGGCCTAAAGCAAAATGTAACCCAACGCAACTGGAGCTCATTATTGACAAAGTTACCCAACTTGAGCGGCTCATTAAAGAAAAGCCAGCCCCACAAAAGCCAAGTCTCTCAGGAGGAAACAAAGCACCTCGTGAGCGTTGCTTAATAATTACGAATGCTCCTGAATCCGACAAAGAATCATCAGCTGAAAGGATTCTTGACGACCAGGCGTTTTTGAAGCGGATGATATCCATCCTGTTAGATGAAGGCGTGCAGGGTATCAACATTGTCTCTGCTTTCCTTCTAGGTAGAAAGCAGGATGATCCATCCAATGCTCGACCGCTAAAACTCGTCTATCAGGATGAGGATGAATGTCGCCGCATCCTCAGGCGTACCTCGCGTCGCAAAGGAGAAACTTTCTTTGTTCTGAAAGACCTTTCACCAGAAGATAGAGTCAGAATGAGACAAGCCGTCAACGAACTTCGAACGAACAGCGAAACTGACTTCCACATTGTGGGTTTTCTCGTTGTTCAGAAATCCCAGAGAACTCGCTGGAAACCAATCCTTCTGTTACCCAGCCCCCATGTCTAAATAACGGTCTGCGAGTGATATTTGCCAATGTACGCAGCCTTAAAAATAAGCTCGACGAGATTCCTCTTCTTATTACTGAGCATCAGCCAGATTTACTGGCTTTAACCGAGACCTGGTTATCACCAGAGATCCAGGACGCTGAGATTAGCATGTCAGGATGTCAAATCTCACGAACAGATCGCTCCAGTGAGCGGACTGGAGGTGGAGTAATTCTCTACTCGAGGTCTTGCCTTAAGGTACACGTTATCGAAGCTCTCTGCGACAATGACAGCCTCAGAGGTACTGTGGGGCCGAATTCATGGTAGCTATCAGCTGCACACGGTCGGTTTGGCTTACAGAACTCCACTGAGCTCAATCGTCCGTTCCTTACAGTCGGTAAAAACCAATTTTCGAGGAAGGAACTGTCTGCTAATGGGTGATTTCAGTACACCCAGTGTCGACTGGAACCTCGTTCACTGTGATCTTTACCAAGATTCCTTCGAGGCTGGCTTTCTCGATGTTATTCACGAATGCAATCTGATCCAGCACATCTCAGCGCCAACACGGATGATACCGGGTCAAAAACCAAACATACTGGATCTCGTCCTCACACCACCGCTCTTTGATGTCCATAGCCACTCGGCCGGAGTGACCACTCTACAATCTCCTTCTTTTGGGCATGCCGCTTTGCCATATATGATCAAGGGGCACGCCGTCGCAACTTCTGGCATGTTGTCCCATCCAGATTACAAGAAGTGGCAAGCACCACAGACTGGACCATTCCACGATCCCTGGATCTTGATAAAGCATGGGACTTACTACATAGGCATGATCATGGTGATACAAACACTAAGGACTGAAAAACGTAAATAATGGCACAAGTTTATCAGTAGCCTATGGATCTGTGTGGTAAGTGTGTAAGTGCGAATGTGTGTGGCTGTGTTGCTTGAATTTGTAACTGTGACACCGTATTTGTGACTGATTTCAGTCAGCTCGTGGTGCAACAGCGCCCCCTCTAGCCAAACCCCAACTTCTCTCCCGCTATTTTTGCGTTTTCCTACTGGATCCAACATTCACGGACTGGAGCACAGTTGGGTAGTATCGGTGAACATTGAATGATAACTGACGACCTCTTTATTTTTTGCACCACTTTGTTGTTTCACCCCTAGTATAGTTTGTACTCCAGATGTGTTGACTCTGTGTTCTTATTGAGCTGGTCATCTGCGTGATGGTTAGCTTCAAGAGTGTGCTACTTTCTGTTTCAGCTATTTGGAGTTATTCCCCACATCACTCAGACCTGCGCACATCACACTTGATTTCAGGACACCTTCTCTTTGTCTAGTGACCCCAAAGCGGCTCATTCATTTACCTCACGCAATGTTTTTGGTCACTGCTTTGATTTTCTCCTGCGTGTTTTCTGTGGGTAATTTGCCACCAACTCTTCGTAACTTGCGTTGAAGCCAGATGCTGCTCAGAATTTGACCATCGGACAGTTCTATTCACTTCTAAAGAGAACGTTTTATCCTCGAAAACGATTGTCTTAGTCGAGGGTGAAGCCAAGTGCCGTACAAAGGATGTTAGTATCCAACCTATTGCTGTCAACCCTTTTACTATTAGAGTAATGAACTGTACGCCGAATTGAACGGCATTTTGACACCAGTTGGCAGAGATCCCGCGACTGGGAACTTTCAGGTACGCTTTGTCTTCCATACTCGTCACACTTAGGTCACTTTCGTTTTTGAACACAAGGATTTGCCTCCCGGTGAATACAGTGTTCGATTTTTCAACGAAGACAGTGCTACGTCATATCGACGTCTGAGGTTTAGTGATGAGAAAAACTCAGTCCATCCGGTTTTCTCCGTTCCGTTCCGGCATAAGGTGAGGCGCGATTTCTTTTACACATTTCACTCTACAGGGCATCTCAACAACTCCCTGGGTCCATTCAGAAACCACTGCACTTCTCGGTATATCAACACTGACTTTAGCGGCGTTCATCACCCGTAAAAACCATTTTTGACCCAATTTATTCAGTGACTTATATTGCGTTTCCTCTTCACTCCGATCTTTCTTTTCGCCTTTTTCAAGCTTCCCTTTTTCTGAATGCCAAGTGTCCTCTGTTGTGATGTATTTTCTTGTTTCTTGCCAATCCTTTGCCATGTTTCTGTGACAAATGTAGTTAATAAATCCCCGTATTTTCGGATGATACTAGAATCAGATCTACTTGTTACATTCACAAATGGATATCAGTAACACCCCAGTAGCATCTAGAGTCAGTCGGTGTCGGAAATGACTACGCGCCTGACTTGCAATCCTTTCGTCACTGGTTTGAATCCGCGTAGGGGCGAGCGTCCTTGCGGTATATTCAGCCTACGCGCAACCGGTGGTTGTCGCATGGCAGCGAAGCGTCGATACAGTGTGTCGGCACACTGCTGATGACCTCTCGATTAGGATGCAGTCGCATTTTTTTGACCGGATACTGGGCTTCTACAGGGACACCCAAGACCATCCAGAAGCGTGGACTCGTATCTAGAACTTCGAGACTTGTGAGTCAAGCGCTGGAGCCACTGCACTGCGGATCCATCAATCATGACAAGGTTAAAACTCGGTGTGGTGGAGTTTCTCATTTCCCCCTTGCGCCACCCACCTATGCACATTCCACGAGCCGCAGACAATTCAATTACTAGAGGTCAGGCAAACCCGGTCCCAGCGTCCCTATTATTACAGTTTTGGCACTTATTCATCCTACCTTTCCATCATAACTCAGACATAGGTGTCTACAACGTCTGAGTCAGTTCGGGACTTAGGAATTAGGTACTCCAACTCTTTCAATTTCTCCGAACATGTTCTTTATCAGGTTGCGAAAGCAAGGCAGCTATGCGGATATATCACCAGAACTTTCTCCCTACCTGAAGTACGACTTGAATCATTCAAGACAATCGTACGACCGACTCTGGAGTATTGTACTATCCTTCACAGCCAATTGAGAAAGAAAGGCAGAACGGCTCTAGAAAATGTCCAACGACCATTTACCAAACTGCTCATGGGACGCTGCTCAAACCTGACTTATTATGATCGCTGTCGAAAACTCCAGCTGGATCCACTTTGGCTGAGACGCTTAAAAACAACCTCGTTCTCTTCTACAACATTATAAACCAACGAATTTACGCAGACAGCATCGCACTTGAACTGCGGAAGACTGCAGTCTACCCCACACGTAATGGCGGCTACTTGATACTTACAAACCTTTCAAGTCATAAAATTCGGTCGAATTTCTTCTTAGTGAGATACACTTATTTGTGGAACAAACTACCCCTACAGATACGCACGTGTACAAGCCATGTCACCTTTCGAAATTTCCTTCAGACCTTCCTCACTATACCAAACGCTCTGAAGATATTTGACTCACAGCAAACACTAGAAACACTGACAGAAGTTGGTATAAAAAACATTTGATAATAGCTTACAGCTAGCTTACCCACTACATGTCATTACATACCATACCAAATCCTGTGTCTTTGCAGCCTAATAGTCCCTTCGTTTATTGTCTACTCCTGACAATACAAACATCCGTAAATTTTACATATGAGTTGCGCGGGTCTAGGACTCAAGGAAAAGTAATCATGATCCGAAATGCTATTAGTAAACTTTTATTTAATGTTATGAAACGTGTTCACTATACACATGATCGCTCCCACTTATGGGGCCGTGTACCGTCCGTCGGTAAATATACAAATTTATTTATTTATTTATTTATACATTTCATTTAAGCCGTACTACCGTTTTCTGAATACTAAGCTACAATTGACTCCGCTTTTTGTGACTCGCGTTACCACGAAAACGATTGGTAATAACTGTATGACAAGCCCGGGAAGAAGTGCAACGAAACAATTAAAGCTACAATTGGAAAGGGGTAAAAAGTGGTTTGTAGCTGTCAAATGGAAAGGTAACAAACAAGCTCCAAGGTTCCGGGTTTAAGGTCTTCACTGACCCATATGGGATTGGGCATATAGCCTCTGAGACGTAAGGTCTGTTGCGAAATTCACATGCATGCAGCTATTGGGCGTCTACCCGACTGAGTTTCTCCGTTACTTTCAATATCGTCGGCTGGCTACCCTGCGAATGCGATCAACCAAGCTCCGTATTGGCAAACAGTACTCAGATGTAAGATGTCTGTAGGTATTCGAAGGATGTCAGTTCGGGCACAAAACGTACTACACTAGGATGCATGTCGCCAAACTTCTGTGTTGCGGTGATTCAGACATTTAGTTCACAGGCTTCTGCTGCCCGGGCTCTAGTCTCCCGAGTCACTTATGTTTACACTCCAGTTATGCATCAGTACAGGGTACTAATGTACTCCCGGCACTTTTAGTTAGTGGACTTAAGTATTGCGCATTCCGTGCTCCTGCGTGATTCGCGCGACATTTAGCAACCACCGGCGTTCGATGATACCCATTGCCGTAGATCTACAAGACGCTGTGACATTATTTCTGCTCCATGCAACAACGCTAAGCACACTATAGCTTTGAACGCCCTATTCTTGACTAGCAATGTGATATTACTCCGTTCCCATAGATGACTGAAACTGTTAAACCACGCATGTTTTACTGGTACGCACGGTAATCTCTTTGGCACTTTGATTCCCAGAGGCCCGACAGGGAACGAATCAAGTTTCCAATTATTGTCCGACAATGACGAAAGCACAACCCAGACTGCAGTTTACTACCGAAGAGTGATGCGCTCATCATCATTTTGTCTAAAAGCCCATGTCGCTGATCCTGGCTCTATCCCAGGAGAACTATCTACATGTTTTAAGCGTTTCATTCAGGAACTTGGCATAACTATCATTTATGAGGATGCACGATCTCTCAGTTTTGAGGCACTGGACGTTTTGATCTAAAGATTGGTCTGGCCTCTGGTTTGAGGTTCAGCTCAGCTCTGGCTATCCGGCAGCATCCAAGACCTGGTTGGAACAAACTTTCGTGGCGTCACTTCAGTTCTGCAATTTGACTGTAAAGTTCGAGGTTCATATTCTGCGTCTCTGTGGGTTTCTCGACTTGTAGTTTCTGGCATATACTGTTAACTGCCTGGTCAAGTAACTTCATTTCCTCCATCTAATCGAGACTCAGCAAATGCAATCTTGGTTGATCTGTCACAAAACAGGTTGTACGAATGTGCTGATCACGGAAAATGACCTGACAATGCAACTCTCCGAGAAATTTCAAAATACCGCCGGATGCATTTCGTGCTGTGTGGTCTGTGGACAAGTGTTGATCGTCCCAGCATACACCATATGTCTCGGTAAATCAAAGTGAAATCTGACGCAGTATCCGGTTGCAGCTCAACTTCTTTATCACTGGTCTTCAACATTGTAAACTTACGCCTGCCGACACCGTCAACCTTGAAAGTCGCCTTCATAGTTTTGGCTTCGTTGTGACATCAGAAGCGCACCGGGATTCGACGCCGTATTCCGCTCATTGTTGGTCGCATCGCAAGACAACACGCGATTTCAAATGTGATTTCAGAACTGGCATTTTCGACCAAAGAGTCATTCCATGCAAAACCAACACGCAGAAGAGGGTTTAGAATGTGGTGAACTCACATGAATCCATTCTTTCTGAGGACTTCGGCTGACCCTGCAAATGATGTCCTGGCTACTCTGGATGGATGACTGTTGGATCATCGCAGCATCCTGCTTCAAGTTCATCAACCGTTGGCATTCGTTCTTCACTTCCTGCAGTGTGATCTCGGGATTTTGTTCAATTCTGCTCAGTACTCTTGTTCGGGCATCAGCATCTTTGGTTGCTGAAAGACCACACACATAAATAAGGCACATACTGATCAGCTGTCATCTTGTGAAACACCCACGGTTCACACTCGCGATTTACGCGACACGAGTAAGTAACCCAATCTTCATCGTCTCCCTTGGCCATTATCAGGCACTTGTATCGGATATTGTATAGTGACGACTGCTCTCCAAATATCTGGGACAAAGTAGCAACCGCTTCATCGAATGTTAAATCAGTGCTCTTTTTCGTCAAGATGAAATTCATGAACTCTTCATGCTCGGCCGCACCCAATTTCCGCAGCATGAGGCGAACTCTCTTGTCCTCTGAAGCTCCGCCTAAATCAACGCGAAACAGGTCTTCGTATTTATGGAACCAGGATTCAAAGGTAACACCGGCATCGGCATCGTAACGGAACTCACAAACTTGCTAGGTCAAGGTTTCTGCTGAAGGGCAACGTTCACTTGTTCCTGTTACCGAGCCTGCTTGTAGGGACAAATTTTTGGTCAGAGTTCCGATCAACTTGGCCTGTGCTTTCTCAAACTGCGCATGCTGTTGCTACAACAGAGTCTGCAATGGTTCAAAACTGACTGACATCTTTGGGTTCTTCTGACTTCTGTCGCCACTGTTGTAAAGCTGCCTCCGTACTGCTGCTATTCTGCGCCTGCGACACTACGACCGCCTGATTGCTCAGTCACGCGCCCAACCAACCGACGGGATACAGAAAGCCAAGGGAGTCTATTCTACACGATAGGTCAGTTCTATTTGTTGGTGAATGAAACATACTAATTTTGGAAGCGTTTGGCTCTCAGCGAATGTGAGTTAATTCCGTCCCGCGGATTTTCCATATTTGGCAGAATGGTTCGCCTCCGTTGACTCGGGCTTGTATTTGCTGGCCAATCAGTTTGTACTCGATTCCCAGATTTAGCAAAACAGTTGAAGGTCGTTCCACTCTCGTGCTGGTGACCTGCGCATGCAGCAGACAGCTCAGTGCTCCGCGGTAAGCCTGTTCACGATCTGGACATTGGCTTCGCTTACCTCTCCGTAAGTGCGGTCCTCGGGGTATTCAGCATAGCAAGTGTACCTGCAATTCAATGTCACATGATCACTGCGGCTTGGAGGAGTATCAATTATCGCTCTCACAATAATCGGTTCTTCATTGGTGAATATCCGATTCAATATGGATAGTCTGTTTTCCCCCTGAGTCTGGTGGTCGAAGTGAAGTGGCCATAAAGCGGAAAGTTTGAGACCATATTTTGCAGGTTTCCTTTGAATTTCTCCCCTGGTGTGGCCTGGGATTCTGGAGCATGTAAGATGGATTCTTCGGCGACTAGGACGTGACTATACTTCTTGTTTCTCATGTGCCTCAACGCAGCCACCAAGTAGAAGTCCATCTCAGATGTAGATGATGGTTGGCGATAAACAACAGCCAATAGACCGCGGGCGCTCCCTCTCAGCCGTAAGCTGCACCA